ATGATAAATCCTGAACAACTTCAGTCTTCACATTCAATGGAGAGATGCCAGGATCAAATTTTCCTCAAGATCGCGACACATTAAGTATCATCCCACAACTATTGCTACCACTTATGCTACAGGGAGAAATAAGATGTGTCCTCATAAATCGTTTTGGAAATGACACTGAAACATCACAGTTACTACTTAGTAAGGAATCAAATTACTACTTACTACTAATAGTTATGCTCACTGATTTATGTATTTGCAAGACCCAACTACATGGCAAAGATTGCAAAAAATAAAATACAAAAATATCTCTTTTTTAATAGATGTATCCTCTGTGTTTACTGGTAATATTCAAGGTGCCAATGGTTCACAGTGTCCATCAAATGAGCCCTCAAATGTCTTATGCCCTTTAATTGGGCAGCAGATCAACTTGAACTGTAGTACAAACTATATGTACCCATACAACATTACAACTCCAGACTTGAACAGTTCTAGTAACAGGAATCTCAGGTAAAAACCGTGTAGCACTTATATTTCATGGATATAAAATTTCACGAATCTTTTCCTACTAACCATTCCCGGATTAAAAATTTAGCAAAACTATCTATTTATTCATTGACTAAGTTGTGGCAAAAAATTTTCAATGGAATTTAATTTCGTGAATTTTAACCATCCACGAAATTAGTGAAATTTATTATCCACAAAATATAAATGCTATACATTCCTTCTTTACTTTAAATATTATTTTAAACACAGTTTTACTGTTGGCCCTGAAGACTATGGCAGTTATACTTGCACTGCTGCCAATGGTTGTAACCAAGAGACACATACTATTGTGGTGAAGCAACTAGGTAAAAATTCATTATACTAACTGCTGAGGAGTAATTAAATAGTAACCACAAACTGTGAAATTTAACACCATTGCATAGTACATTAGAGTACATTGATAGGGCTTCAATTATGGAAAATAAATTTATACAAAAATAAATTTTAAAAAGTTAAAATACTTTTTTCATTAATAGAACCAGCACATATTATTAGCATCAGTGAGCCACAAACGGTGCCTTCAGGCAGTTCAGTTGATATCAGTGTCGTAGCTGGTGGTACTCCTGACTTTACGTATCAATGGTTTAGAAATGGAATGGCCATACCTGGTGAAACAGGCTCCACTCTTAGTATCCGAAACATCAACACTACTGATATTGGTTTATACAGCTGTACGGTAAGTAACTCTAGAGGAAGTGCTAACTCCAGCAGTACAGCAATCAGTGTGACAAGTAAGTACAAATTTAAAAATTGAAAAATTTTATCTCACCTTGACGTGTTTAGGTTCTGTATCAATAAATGGCTCGGTTCCACAGAGCATATCGAACTTTGCTCCTTCAGTTCCCAGTGGATACACTATATCTCCAAGTAACCCAAGGATAAGACTTACAAGCTCAGGAGAACTAGAGACTGATGAACTTGGACCAGAAGACTCTGGAACATACACTTTCAGTTCGCCTGATCTTGGAGGAGCTACACTTAGCATCGGTGTTAATGTACTTGGTATGTTCCTATTTATGAAAGAAAATGAACATTATCATTTGATACTTAGGAATTGCACATGTCATCAGCATCAGTGGTCCACAGACAGTGCCTTCAGGCAGTTCAGTTGATATCAGTGTCGTACCTGGTGGTACTCCTGACTTTACGTATCAATGGTTTAGAAATGGAATGGCCATACCTGGTGAAACAGGCTCCACTCTTAGTATCCGAAACATTAGAACTACTGATATTGGTTTATACAGCTGTACGGTAAGTAACTCTAGAGGAAGTGCTAACTCCAGCAGTACAGCAATCAGTGTGACAAGTAAGTACAAAATTTAAAAATTTGAAAAATTTTAACTCACCTTGACGTGCTTAGGTTCTGTATCAATAAATGGCTCCGCTCCACAGAGCATATCGAACTTTGCTCCTTCAGTTCCCAGTGGATACACTATATCTCCAAGTAACCCAAGGATAAGGCTTACAAGCTCAGGAGAACTAGAGACTGATGAACTTGGACCAGAAGACTCTGGAACATACACTTTCAGTTCGCCTGATCTTGGAGGAGCTACACTTAGCATCGGTGTTAATGTACTTGGTATGTTCCTATTTATGA